GAGAGGACGGATAAAAAAGCTTGTACGATGGGACCAGCAGGGGGCGGAGTGGTTAACTGGACTCCCAGTGGTTGACAGGTCCAGTCCCAGACCCAGTGGCTTGAAACTGACACCGGGCACATGTGCTAGCGTGCCCAAAATCCTGAGAGGAGACTTGACAGAGAAGAGATTGCAGTGTGGCCACCCCCCTCCAGGAGGTGATTTCTTGCCTTCTGTCTCTCTAGCAAATATGCCCACCCGATGGCAAAAATCTCAAAAAAAAAAAAATTGCAGTATATAGACAGGCAAAAAGTTAATCGTGATAAAAACAGAACTTCAGTAATCAAATAGATAAATAAATAAAAGGGTTTTTTAATCCCAAATAGACCGAAGACATAACAAAATCACCAGTGGCCAAAAAACTTAGAAAAGAAAAATAATAGGGGGACCAGCAGATGGTGTCATGGTTAAGTCACTGGACTCCTACATAGTTGACCATGGTTCAAGTCCTAGACCTGGTGACTTAAACTCACAATGGGCACATGTGCATGTGTTCCCAAAATCCCGAGAAAAAAACAGGAGATTGCAGACTGGCCATCCCCCCCTAGGGGGTGGTTCTAACTTTTGGTCTTTGTCACTCTCTCTCTGGTGTGCACACATGCCCTATAGGAAAAAAAAAAAAAAAAACTCTCTAAAAAAAAAGAAAGCAAAGCCAGCGAGGGCTGGCCTGCAGTACAACACTGAGTGCCAGCTCTAGAGAGCCCAATCCCACACTGTCAGTCAAAGTTCGAATCCCAACTCTGGGCTTGAAAGACATGCAGGGCACGCATGGTTCTCGTGCTAAAAGAAAAAAATATTAGAATTATTTTATTTAACTTTATTTATTTATTTTGATTTGACCAGAGAGGGACAGAGAGAGAGAAAGTGAGAAAGCAAGGGACCAGAAATTGGCGTAATGCTATGTCGCTGAACTCCCACATAGTCGACCACAGTTCAAGTCCCAGACCTGGTGGTTTAAACTCACACCGGCGTGTGTGTGGGCGTGTGTGTGTGCGTGTGTGCGTGCGTGCCCAAGATCCCTGGAAGAGAAGGGATTGCAGCATGGCCATCCCCCCTGGGGGGTGATTTCTCACTTTCTGTCTCTCTGTCTCTCTAGCTAGTGCACACGCCCTGTAGCAAAAAAAAAAAACACCTCTCCCAAAAAAAAGAAAAGAAAGTGAGAAAGCAAGCCACACGGTCTGGGACTTGAACCATGTTCAGCCACATGGGAGTCCAGCACCCTTAACCACCACATAACACCACATGCTGGCCCCACCGAACTGTACATTTTTTTTTTTTTTTTTTTGCTACAGGGTACGTGTGCTTATTAGAGAAATAGTGAGACAGAAAGTGAGAAATAACTCCCCAAGGGGGATGACCACACAGCAATCCCTTCTCCTCTATTCCCCTCTCAGGATCTTGGGCACACACACACACACACTCAGCATGGGTTTAAGCCACTGGGTCTGGAACTCGAACCATGGGTGACTACATGGGAATGCAGCAACCTAGCCATTACACCAAATGCTGGCCCCTGAACTGTACACTTTAAATGAGTGAATGGGGGACCAGCAGTTAGCATAATGGCTAGGTCGCTGGACTCCCATGTAGTCGACCGTGGTTCGAATCCTGGACCCGGTGGCTTCAAACTCACACTGGGCACGTGTGCATGCATGCCCAAGATCCCGAGAAGAGAATGGAGGAGAAGGGATTGTGGCGTGGCCATCCCCCCTGGGGGAGGGGTTGATTTCTCGCTTGCTATCTCTCTGTCTCTCTCTGTCTGGTGATTGCACGCACCCTATAGCAAAAACCTCTCCAATAAATAAATAAATAAATAAGTGAATGGTGTTGAAATATATGTCAATGTTGAGGCTGGCAGGTGGTATGGTGGTTGAGATACTAGACTCCCACATGGCCAACTGTGGTCTGAGTCCTAGACCTGACAACTCTCTATGGTAAATTAAAAAATAATAATAAATAAAAATTAAATAAATAAATGTTAAATATATATATATGTCAATGTTGTAAACGAGAATAAAATAATAAAAGGCATGTAACATTGAAAACACAGTCCACGACCCAGCAGGTGGCATAGTAGTTGTGTCTCTGGGCTCTCACATGGCCAGCCGCTGTTTGAGCCCCAGACCCAGTGGCTTAAAAATTAATCCAGGCACTCGCCCGCACACACGTGTGTATGTGCCCAAAATCCCAGGAGAAGAATGGAGGAAAAGGGACTGCCGTGTGGTCATCCTCCCTTGGGGGTGATTTCTCACTTTCCCTCTCTCTGTCTCTCTCCAGCAAGCACACACACCCCCACGGGGGAAAAAATGGAAAAACACTGTCTAAAATTTAAGCGATTGTTAATAACATGTGTCTCCAAGTGTGTCTCCAGCACCCATACTGTTTTAATTGTTTGAGCATCAGGACCAGCAGTTGGCGTAATGGCTATGTTGCTGGACTCCCATGCAGTC